ACACGACGACACACGTCACACGCACACACACACGCACACACACACGACACACACACACACACACACACACACACACACACACACACACACACAGACAGACACACACGCACATACACACATGGTATCACGAGCTTGTACCTCAAACGGTGTAGCCGCCACCTGGCGGGCATTATTGACTCGCTTCCCCTCGGACATCAGCTGGTTCTTGGCTGCTACGTACACGTGATCTGTACCCAGTGATCCCACCATGGTGTTGGGTTTATACAGTATGCAGGTTCCGGGCCTGTCCGGGTCGGGAACCTGTATGACGTAACCGGCAGGAGAGAGGCGATTGGCTGCAGCCACCTGGATGAGCAAGTCCATCATCGGCATGCTGAAAACAAACCGCAAGATGGCAGCACCTATTATTAACTGTATTCAGTGAGCTTGAATGACCAGTTGTACGGTGGATTCTTCTTGTTGTTGGATTTATATTTCTGCTGATTTTTCGGAGTAACCGTTAAGCAAGCATACAGTAGGAGGGGGCGTTATCAGAAACAAATTTATTCTTAACATTAGTTTTAACATTACCTCTTTCTCATAGACTGTTGACAGAAACGTGGTATAGTTACGAGTTTCTCATACGCAGTGAACACGGGTGCGGTCTACGAGAAGAAAAGTTAATGTTAGGATTAATGTTAAAGCTAGTTTTGTTTCTGAGAACGGGCTTCAGGTGGCGCACGAGTCGCATGGCAGTCGAGCTTACCTCGCCTGCACAGCAAGCATCTTCTCTGTGCCGTCAGGTAGCGTGACGAACAGCTCTACGACGTCGTCCATTTCGTTTGGATTTACGCCCCAAGATGGCGCTCCATCAGTCGAGGACGAGCGCTGCTGTAGCAGGCATCCGCTGGAGCCAGACTTCTTCATGACGCTGCTTGTTGCCGGGGCAACGCGCTTCATGCTGATGCTGTCGAACGAAAGGTGCATGAAGTGAGTTGATGGTAGATTGGCGGATGACGTGTTGTGTTCTGTCTGCTATTTCGCAATCGAATTGATCGCTTTTTATGCGTCAAATGTTCTCTACTCATGATAAATGCAGGACGACAAAACATCATAAAAGATTGATTAGCATTTATTGTAATGGAATAATTTCACAATTTGCGTGATTAATGTGTTGATCCCCTTTTCCTCTCTTTCCTTTCTCTCTTTTATTCTCTCTCTCTCTCTCTCTCTCTCTCTCTCTCTCTCTCTCTCTCTCTCTCTNTCTCTCTCTCTCACTCTCCGTCTGTCTTTCTCGCCCTCTCGCCTCCTTTCTCACTCATTCTCTCCTTTAGTCGACGTCCGTGCATACAGTCCACGCCCAGAACACGCGCGCGTGAACACACATACATATCCGCGCACTGTTTCACTAGGTCTTACATGTTCTGTATCTATATATATAATATATATATATATATATATATATATATATATATGTATATATATCAGTGTTCCACCACCGCCGTTGCTATAGATGGCTCAGGTATATAGAACCGTTTCAACAGCTTGTAACAGCCGGTGCGCCTGAATGCTGGCATTATATGTTCGCCCTCGATGATGGCAGCTGTAGCGATGCTGCGACATAGCACAGTATCGCAGTGACCATGGGGCAGTGCACGCGCACACACACACATGCACGCACGCACGCACGCACACACACATGCAACGCACACACACACACATGCACGCACGCACACACACACACACATGCACGCACACACACACGCACGCACAC